TTTACACAATTGATGTATGTATGGATTGTGATAAGAGTTGTATGAGCCCCTAATAAAATGATTTTAAAAAAAGTTTCTCTGTACAATAAAATAGCGTTATAATGGATTTTAGTATATGGCCACACCTTGGAGATGTGAGTGCCTTTTCAGCCCACCCCAGTAAACTGACTTTTGCATCTCGCCCCCTATAGGGCAGGGTAGATAGAATTGATCCTGTGGGTTTCTGAGACTGGTTCTCTATGGTAGTAGAAAGCCTTGTCTTTCTCCAGTGGAGCAGCTGGTGGTTTTGACTTCCCAGTGCATATAAAAAGCTCTGTTTACACATTCTAGTATATCATGTGTGTAACAACACTAAAAACTGAAGCAACTTTAAAATGGGAGATCCCATGATGTTACAATTTAACCTAGCTACACCTGCCATAATCGACTTTACAGTGCTCTCTGATCGATAGCAAGGCTAGTCACATCCCTCAGCTGTGGGGACCCTCCAATGGCTTTGGGCTTCCACTGTCATCCATAGTCTTCTGCAAACCGAGTGTTCACAGTATAAGCTCTGGTACCATTCCCTCTTTCAGATTTGGATTTTAGTATTTAAAATCCTTGAATCACACAGGCTGATGTGCTTCTTCCATGTGGACTTAAGTGGACACCTCACTTAGGTGGCTGCTTGTTTCAAGACAAGTCTTTTAAGACGCCCGACACTATTCTGGCTGATAGTTGGTTATCATCTGGTTTCTTCACCACACTTTGCTATAGCACCCAGAGCTTCAGTGATCTCTTTATGAGGGTGAGTATCCCGCAAGGCCACGCCATAAGACTAATCGGTTTTTAAATTAAATACAAGCCCTAAATCCATTCATGTATGTATGGTTTATATATGTCTCTTTCCACCCACCCCCTTTTATTATTTTTAAAAAATTTCTGAGGTGACTTCATGAGTCAAAGATTTTTCTCCATTGTTATATTTTCTTTTGGCCATATTCTGTTTCTTTTTGTGAGGGAGCTTTAAACCGTCCATGCTGGAAACAGAATTATCTTTCACATCAACTGTGAAAGGGGTGCAGCCTTTTCCCTCCAGCCGACCCTCAGTTCCCACAGACCTTTTTTTCCAATCATATCTTCGTCTTTGTTTTCCTACCCACTGCCTTTGAGTTGATTCCTTAGCCTCCTTGTAGGACCGAGGAGAACTGCTCCTTGGGGCTCCCAAGGCAACAGCTCTGTGGGAACAGACAGCCTCTTCCGTCACCACCCGGTGTTTAACCTGCTGTGCCACCAGGGGGCCTTCTCTGGATCCCACTTCATTTGCATTCTCCTTATAACCTAGACCAGGTTCTTCGATGCATTGGAGTGTTTCTGGGCTTTTTCAGTCTGTTTCCTCTTGTTGGGTGCCATCACGTGTTATTCCCATACTGCTTTAATTACCTTCACCTAGAACAGTGGTTCTCAGCCTTCCTAATGCCGCCACCCTTTCATGCAGTTCCTCATGTTGTGGTGACCCCCAACCATAAAATTATTTTCATTGCTACTTCATCACTGTTATTTTACTACTGTTATGAATCTCCATGTAATTAATTGTCTGATATGCAGGATGTATTTTCATGGGTACAAATTGAACATCATTAAAACATAGTGATTCATCACAAAAAATGCCATTATATATTATGAAATATTTCAAATGACAAATAAATGAAATTTTGTCTGGAAGCATGATGTAGCATGGTTAACAGTCTTCACGCTGGGTACTCATAGGTGGGCGTATCTGCATGTGGGAGGACCCGCCAGGAGATGATAGAGCAGCTGTGCCAGGAGATGATAGAGCAGCTGTGTCTCGGTTCCTAAGACCATCTGAAATAGGCGACTCCTGTGAAAGGGTCATTCAACCCCCACCAAAGGGGTCGTGACCCACAAGTTGAGAACCACTAATCTAGATGCTGATCCCCATTGTCATACTGTTTGAAAAGTGTTTCTTGAGAGAAGAGTGGGTGGAGGAGGGAGGGGAAAAAAATGAGTAGCTGATACCAAAGGCTCAAGTAGAAAGAACATGTTTTGACTATGATGATGGCAGCAAATGTACAAATAAATGTGCTTGACACAATGGATGGGTGGATTGCTTGTGATAAGAGTTGTACGAGCCCCCAGTAAAATGACTAGTAAAAATAAAAAAAAAAATTTAAGTGTTTCTGATCATTCTCACATATTTCTCCTTAAGGGGATTTAAGATGTAGTGCTTTAAGTGTTTGTTTAGTTCTTAATTTTGTTGATACTTTATGGCTCATTTGTTAATGTATAGAACCATTCCTGTGAGATTGATTGTTATTTTGTCTCACATGTTTATACATTCTGAGCTATATTAATAGATCATAGGAGAAATTCTTAGGTTTTTAATAATTTTTTATTAAAAGATCATTTTATTGGGGGCTCTTACAGCTGTTATAACAATCCGTGCATCAATTGTATCAAGCATATCTGTACATGTTGCCATCATTATCTTCTAAGCATTTACTTTCTACTCGAGCTCTTTTCCCTCGCTCCCCCACTCCCATCCTTGTGACCCCTTGATAAATGATAAATTATGGTTATAGAAATTCTTAGTTTTAACAGACCTACTTTAACAACCAAGCCACAGCTGTTGAGGCGACTTGGGCTCATAGTCCCCTACAGGACAGAGAAGGACTGTGTCGGAGGGTTTCCTTGGCTGTAAACTTTCACCGACACAGATGGGCCCATCTTTCTTCCTCAGAGCAGTGAGTCAGCTCAGATGCTTCCTGCTTTTAGGTTCAGGAGTCCAATGCTTAACCTGTTGTGCCACCAGGGCCTCATATAGTAGTGTTAACTAGGCATCCTCTAGTCATTACATATATGTATACGATTCATAAGTAAAAGTGGTCTGTATGGGTCTTTTGTTTTTAACACCAGCGTTGTCTGGCTTGGAGACCTTAGAAACAATTTTTAAACCCACTTCATTTTTTATCTGCTGTGGTACGATTTAAATATCGTTGGCATTATTTGTTCCTTAAAATCGTTGAGGTAGAATTCACCTGTGAGACTGTGGGACTCTTGATGTTTTACTGGGGAGGGGAAAGGATTTACCATCCGTTTGTCTTTTAGGATTCATTGTGTGACCTTGCGTTTCTTTTATCTGAGTCTTAAAGGGTGTCTGCAGATAAGAATAGTACTGCTGTAGCTCTGAACTTCCTCATGCATGTGATGTTCTGTGTTCTCTTCTGCAGGAACAGGAAATATAGTGGTAATTATGGTTAGCTACCCAAAAGGAAGAGAAATTTTGGAACTGGTGCAAAAAGGAATTCCAGTCAAACTGACCATAGGGATTGGCACCCGTCATGTGCAGGAGTTCATCAGCGGCCAGTCTGTGGTGTTTGTGGCCATTGCCTTCATCACCATGATGATTATCTCGTTAGCCTGGCTAGTCTTTTATTACATACAGCGTTTTCTCTACACTGGCTCCCAATTTGGAAATCAGGTAACTCTTGACAACGTCATCGTCTTTGCTTGTCAAAAGGTGGTTGATAAATATCTTCTAGCTGGATGGCTCGAAGTCGTGTTGCTGACTGTATTTTAAATTGCATTTTCACTCATAATATTTGAGTAGCAGAATTTTTTTAAGATTAACATTTTCACTGGAACATATTAAATTTTCTGTTTTGTCAGAAAGTTGAAACCATTAAAAAGCTGCGTCTTTTTTTTTGCATGTTTGGCTCCTGCAGGGACCCCGTCTCTGTCCTTTTCCAGACGTAAAGGACTGACAGAAAGACATGAGCTAGAGTGGGCCTGTCCTTGTGTAACCCTGGTTCCCTGGCTAGGCCCGAAGGCGAGGAACAGAGTGGAAGGGGCTTTTCTATCTCCATTGTGGAGCTTCTGTCAAAGCAATTTCCATCCAGAGAGACACTGGCTCAGGGGCAGCAAAGAGAAGGCAGTTGAAGAGCCAGAGGCTTCCAAAGGCAGGCCTTTTGAATTTCGCACTTGCCACTCTGTAGCCCTGAAAAGTTGACCTTGATTCCAGGCAGTAGATAGTCATTTCTGGGTATTCTTCCACCCAGCCACCAGGAAGGGTGCTTTCCTTGCAGGCTCACTGCCAGAGGAGTGTATGATATCCATACTTTGTTGCCAGTGTTGAAACATAAGAATTGGTGTCTTGTTCAGACCTGGAAGTGAACAATAAGCCCTCTTGCTCAAACAGCTTTTAAGTGGTATGTGGCCTCTCTGTACATTAAAACTTCCCTGCCATATTTCTAGTTACTTTTCAGCATAGTCACTTAACTTAGTTTTTTAAATTGAGATTTGTCTTCTGTGTGCTTGCTTATATACTATGATGAAAGCCTTTTAAAAAGTAGTTATTTGACTGAACATTTTAATTTTTTTTTTTAACCCAAGAGCCATAGAAAAGAAACCAAGAAAGTCATTGGCCAGCTTCCGCTTCACACTGTAAAGCGTGGCGAAAAGGTAATGTTCTCATCGTTTTTTTGCAGAGGGGTGTGATGTGAGTCTAAGAATTCTTTTCCATTTGTTAAATTCATGTGTTAGACATGGAATTTTGGTTCTTTTAAGGTAAAAACTAGCTTTCTTATTTGTATTTGTTTTTGGAGGTGGGCGGGGGCGGGGGGAGCTGCTATCAAATAGATTCTGACTCGCAGTGGCCGCATATATAACTTCCTAGACGGTCAACCTTTGTGGTAGCAGACAGCTTCATCTTTCTTCCTTGGATTAGTTGGTTGGTTTGAACCCCCCACCTTGGGGTTAGCAGCCCAATACCTATCCCAACTCCCTACCAGAAGTGCCTTATTTTTAAGAAAGGTTGCCAGAAATGTTCTGTTGGATATGTGAAGAGCCTTCCCAATCTCTAGTGTCCAATATGATATAGCCACCAGTCCACATGGGGCTATTTACATTTAAATGAACTGAATTCAGTTTGATTTAAAATTCTGCCTCTCAGTCAGACTAGCTATATTTCACAAACCAGATTCTGATCACTGGAAAAAAGTTAAATTCGTGATCGTTAAGCTTGCATCTGTATCCACCCTCTCTCCTACATCTAATGACCGGGAGAAAATAGGGGACTTGCCGACAAGGAGAGGAAGGGTGTTTTAAAAAGTATGTGTTAAAGAAATAGTAAACCACTTTGCTGTGGCCAATCTGAAACATAAAAGTTCAAAACCACCCCAGAGCCTTAACGTCTTCGGAACGGGACAGATCCTGAACCCAGAACTTGAAGAATCATTTCTTTATGAGGGAAACGGTGGCTGTGGCGCAGTGTTTGTGGTTTGCAGGTCCGTCTCCTGTGCTGTTGCACTGGTAACCATGTGTGGGCTTGTTTTGACTCTCACCATGCGTTCTCACTACATTGTGGAGATCGAATGTAAGATCTTAGAAAAATTCACCCTTAAAAAATGTAGCTGCGTGTAGGTAGCAGTGTCACCACAGGCATGTGTGTGTGGATGTGCATCTCCTCCTCTGACCTACGGAACGGAATACAAGAAATAGTAACTCTCACTGGTAGACCTTTCATCTTACAATCTTCAGAATCAGATTGTAATGGTCAAAGTCCTCTCACATTTAATATTAGGGTACTCTTGTAATCAAATTATTGCCTACTATCCCACCCCCCACACCCAGATCATTGCGCTACATAAAAAAAAGTCTTAACAGCAATAACAAAAAGTTACAGGGACACCAAACAAATCCAGGGGAATTGGCAAGTTAAACAAATCAAGTTCTTTCTTGGTCTAACCAAGCCAGCAGGGATGGGGAGTGTGGTGGGGGTTCAGATCAAAAGAAAAACAAACAAACAAACACAAATTGCTCAACACAATTACAAGGAGCTCAAGGAAATTAGAGATAGACTATATCCAAATTTATGCCACACCCAGTTAGTGAAATGGATGATTTTTTTAGGAATTTGTAAGGTCTCAAATTAACCTTAAAATATGCAGGACACTTAAAGAAGTCCATATACATTGCAGAAACCGGCTTGTCCCTAGACCATTCCTCAAAAGACCAGTAAATGTATAAAACCTTTAAGACTCAGATAAGGTCTATGCTCTGTATTCCTTGTCCAACTGAGATAGGAATGGCCTCATAAAGTTAGCAAAATTCTAACACCAAACTTTGCAGGAGGAATCTGAATAGGTGTAAAAATTCCACATGAGATATTTCTAACTGCAACTGTGCACTGCTTTGAGGAGCCCTGGTGGTGCCAAGGCTAAGCGCTCAGCTGCCTTCTGAAAAAGTGGGCATTTCAACACCAACACCCCCACCACCCCCCAGCCTCCTAGATAACCTGCCCTCCCAGGGTTAGTCTAGAAGCCTTCTGGAGCAGTTTTGCTGTGAAGTGCGTCTACAGTGATTATGTGACACTTTTGTTGTTGCTGTTGAGAAGTACAGAGAAAAGAACCCATACACGCACAGTCCCGTGACGTTGATTATGTGCATCGAGCTGTGTGACTCTTCTCTCGCCCGCCTTTTCTGAGTCGGCAACAGCAATTTTGCCTGGACTGAATACAATTGATTTTAGGATTACGAAGACTAGTTTAAGTAAGAAGTAATTTAAGGGTATGATCAAAAGTAAGTGGATCTGTATTGACTTAGCGTGGCAATTTGAAGCCATGCTCATTCGATCTGCCGGCTGAGCAAATGACCCAGGCAGCTGGGCGACGGTGGTCTTTTTACTGTTTCTAAAATAGTTGTGTTGTAGTCAAGTAGTTTTAAAGCAAATTTTAAGAGACATATACCTCAGAGATATTGCAGGTTCTATTCCAGACCCTCTGCAGTAAAGCCTGTTGCATGGATTTTCCCATTTCCTGGTGCATATAAAAGTTAGGTTTACACTAAACTGTTGTGGTGCAGTGGTGAAGCGTTGGGCTGCAGTCTGCATGGTCAGCAGTTTTGAAACCACTAGCAGGTCCACTGGAGAAAGACTGAGTTTTCTACTCCTGTAAGCAGTTACAGTTGCAGAAACCTGCAAGCTGTCGCTGTGAGTCAGCACTGACTGGATGTCAGCGAGCGAGTAGTCTATATCAGTCAGAGTCTGGCTGTATTTCTGACTGATCGTCCCTGAATTTCCATACCAGAGTCACAAGGAACGGAGCAGAGCTTCTCTGGCTTGTCGGGTCCCATGACTACTCTGCTCCTACTGCCTTGGTCGATTGGTTTTAATAATTCCAGAAAGCAATAACTTATTGAATATCCTCTTAAGTTTTATATTTGAGAAATAACTTATTTGATCATAGTAAAGCAAACATTTTCTTTTTCTACAGTCTTTAAAACATGAACACCACCACCACCCCCCATCCCCCCAAATCTACCACCATTAAGTCAATTCTGACTGATGTTGACCCACTGATACAGGGTTTCTGAGGGTGTGGATCTTTACATGAGCAGACAGCATCCACTTTCTCCCCCAGAGCAGCTAGTGGGTTTGAATGATCAACCTTTAGGTTAGCAAGCTCCAAAGCTTACCCAACAGCACCACCCAGGCTGCTTTAAAACATGAAAACTTGTCTAATATTTAAAGAATGTTCATTTCTAATTAGGCACACTTGAATTTTTTTTTCCTTTTTCACCCAACCGCTTTATCTCTTGATAAAGGTAAAACGCAGGTAACTACTGCAGTTGATATATGTTTGGGTTCAGGTTGTACTAACCATAGAATAGAAGCCATCATTGTTTCACTCGGAATGGAGCAAGTTAGTTTTACCAAAGGCATACTACATACTAAGGATATAATAATCATACTAAGGATATAATAATCACTTTCTCTTTTTCCTATTTATAGGGAATCGATATTGATGCCGAAAATTGTGCTGTGTGTATTGAAAATTTTAAAGCAAAAGATGTTGTCCGAATTCTGCCATGCAAGTACGTTCTTTTTACCTCCTGAGACATGGTGCTATTTTAAAAATTCACTTGGCAAGTTTCAGGTGTTTGACAAAAGAGTGATATGTCTTTTTTGATAGATACAAAGATCTTTAAAAGAAGATGAAAATGTTGCATTTTCTTATACTCTTAATTGAAACTTGGGTCTTAATGCCTTCAAGGCTTTTTTTTTTAAAAATCATTTTATTGGGGGCTCGTACAACTCTTATCACAATCCATACATACATCCTTTGTGTCAAGCACATTTGTACAATTGTTGCCCTCATCATTCTCAAAACATTTGCTTTCCACTTGAGCCTTTGATATCAGCTCCTCATTTTCCCCCTCCCTGCCTTCAAGGCTTTTGTGCTGCATTGCTTTAAGGTTGCTTGACCCATTTAATAACTTGGTCATATATTGACCTTTAGTCCTATTACCCAGGCTTTAGTGTGAGTCTCAGAATTCCACTATATATTTAGTGAAAGAAAAAAGTAGCCTGTGTTGACAACAAAGAGGGTAGAGAACGGAAGATGAAGGGCCCAGAGACGAGAGAGTGCCGGAAATGACGACGAGGAAGCACGTTTGAATGTCAGGTTAGAAGGTTGGATACACCCTGAGGTTGGGTTCTCTGGGTTGTGTAAAATAAATAGTCTTGTACTTTACTCTTGATTCCACTGGGGGTTTAAATTTAGAAACAACAAATTTTGATTTCCATTTTAGATTTAGGAAAATTTATTAATAACTTATAAGAAGATTTGTTTTCCTAGCAGAAGGACTTATTTTATATACAAAAATGATAATGAGCTGTCAGTCTTTGGTCAATTTTCATTATATTTCATACCTATATAAAATCAGGTTATAAATATATAAGCAATTATGTTTTATTGCATGTGTCTGCAAAGTGCTTTTATATAAGTAATCTCTATTACATTCCTGATGTCTGTGAGGGAACTAAAGGAATAACTATCAGAATAACAATTTAAAACGAATATTTCGTGGAATATAATTAGCTTGCTTAAATCTATATAGTCTGTGAATAGAATAATCTTTTTCTTTTCCAACGTGAATACATTATATTTCTTCTTTTATTGCTCAGGTTAGGGCTTCTATACTTAGGAAGTGTGGGCGACCGGGGAGTGTGGGTACTTAATGAATTAGGGTCAGTTGATTATGTTTTGTAGAAAACTATTAAAACAGAAAAGAAGTTTTGCTTCAGACTGGTTTAGGATGCGTCGTTGTGACTTAAAATGACGCTTAGCATTCTGTGCAGAAGACCAGCCTGGTTTCCTTTTATAGGACTAGGTAGTGTCCTAATGGCTGATCCAGGGTTTATACCTGACCTTCATAAGTAGACATGTGCATATAGGTTATTCAGCTGTCAGTATATTTTGTGGTTCTTATCATTGGATTTGTTTGGCTTTTAGCTCAACCCCCCTTTTTCTAGTATGTTCTGTTATCATCCCTCCCGCCTCTCCCAATAAAACCAAAAACCGTTTCTTTGGAGTTTTTTTTAAAGATTTTTTTCCTCCCATTTGATTGAGTTTCAGTTTGAAGATCAAAAGATGAGCTAGAGAATAACTATACTAATAGCAAATAGTTACTAAGTTTGCTGTGTGCCTTACTATAGCATATTATGGGCCGACTCCTTGGAACAGGCCTGGAGGGGTCTTCCTCTCCCAGGTTTTGTATGTGAGAAAAATTATTGCAGAGCGGTGGAATCACTGATTGAGAATTATATAGCCATCAGAGAGCAGAGCTGGTATCTGAGCCTCATCTGCCTGACCCTTAAAACCCAAACCCATATTGTCTTTATCACATGTCTTCATCATGCACAGAAAACAGTTTCAACATACTGACAGGAAAGTTAGCTAACTCAGACTTAATCAGTAAAGAAAAGATGTATTCCCCTCTCCCCTCCTCCATTCCAAAAGTGGTAAGTGCTTCTTGTAGAAAATTTTAAATGTGAGAAAATAAATAAATAATGTTAAGCCTCTGACTCAAAGATTAATTATTAATATTTTGCATGTCTGTCTGAGTAATTTTATGGACCCATCTAAAGGTACTGTTAGCTCTTCATGGCACATTAATTCCCGGAAGGTTTTCACATAACTTGGAAGGCAACCTAGCATGAGGCTAAAATGAAGCTCACTTCTGAGCATAAACAAAATTGTTTTTGTAGAATCGAGAGAAAATTTCCCTCAAAGTGCCAGATTTCTGCTTGCTTAACATGGGGAATAGAAATAGGTAGTTACTTAGGGGAAGCGTGTAGCCTAGAATGTTGACTTTATGTCAGTGGCCTGGTGATAAGAGTATGAGTTGATAGAATGTTCTGTGTTCCTGTGCAAGTCAAAAAAAATAACACATCCTTATTATTATTTTTTAAGGCATATTTTCCATAGAACCTGCATTGACCCATGGCTTTTGGATCACCGAACTTGTCCGATGTGCAAACTTGATGTCATCAAAGCTCTGGGATACTGGGTTTGTTATATTTTTGCCTTTCTTCAATCTCTGCCCCAGTTCTTACAGCATGATTACATTTCCTCCTGACCCGAAGCAAGAGGAATGGCCTACCATGCTCCTTGGAACACCCTTGTGCTCCTCTCCTCTTGATTGACAGTGAATGATATACAGCCTTCCAAGAAGATAAAGGAACCCCAGCTGTGACCATAGAACAGTGTGCTAGGATGTCTTCCCATGAGTTTGTCATTACTCTTTAGAGAAATACGCGTTGGCATGCTACCCTGCAAAATGGATATTTTGTAGTCCATTCTGTATGTTATGTAAATTTTTTACAAAATGTTCAAAATGGAAGGTGGCCGAAAGACTCTGGGTCAAGTCTGCAGATTCATACATGGAGAGACCCTACTCAGCCCTTTTAGCACCAGCTCTCCGGGCCCTTGGTTCCAAACAGATAGTGCTGGGGAAATGTTCCCCGCGTTGCATCAGTCTCAATGTGTGGGTACAGGTGGTCACAGGACCTTCTTCAGGAAATAGAGACAGTTAAGCAGAGTGAAAGAGATAAGAATAGCCTTGTGCTAATTGCTGTGTGTTGCACTTCATCTATTTACATTTAATTAATTTACATTTAGCCCTTAAAAGGGCTCTATAAACTAAGTATTATGGTTATTTTACTCATTAAAAAACTTGAGTTTAGGAAAGCTAGGTAATTTGCCTAAAATAACACAGCGAGTTAATGGGAGAAGCAGTTTTCACAAACAAGTCCACTTAATTCCAGGGCCCAAACCTCTTAAGTGCTCCATTATTATTAAAGAGGGAGAATGAATGAATGCCTTGGTCAGTTATTTTTAGAGGTGTCATGCAATCTGACTCTCAAACTAAAGAATGAACAGTTTTGACATAAAGGACTTTGAAAAAGGGCATATCAATGATGTACAGGCTCTTGGCAGCAGGGTGCTTATAGCACTCAGCTGCTAACCAAAAGGTCGGCTGTTTGAACCCACCAGCCTCTCTGCAGGAGAAAGATGAGGCAGACTGCTTGCTTAGACTCTCGCCTGGGAATCCCCGTGCGTTCGAATGGGCTCCGTGGGCAGTTAGGCTTCTGTAAACATACCGCTGAAGTATTGGCTCCTGATGCAGGACACTTACTTCCCAGACTTCAAGTCTGCAGAATACACCCTGTCATTTTGTAGCGTAGCTTGCCTTCAAAGATGTCTAAGAGAATACTCCCTTATCAACCAATGCCATTTTTTGTGAACTACATATATTTTCAAGTGTGAATTCCAGCAAGTAGTGAGTCCACCTGTAGGGGAAGGGCAGCATTCAAGAACTCTGCCAGTACAACCGTGCCTGCTTTGTGTTGGGCTCCGCTGGCTCTAGGACCGCCAGCACTCACGTACCTGTGGTTCTTTAACAATTAGAGTTCTGTTTCGTGTGACAAAACACACCAAGCTCAGTTCGTCCCCTCTCTGCTCCCAGCGTGGAACTTTAGAGATGAGCCTTAACTTGGTTGGACAGCATATTTTCCTAAAAGAATTCCATTTCTTAGCAAAGCCAAGTTTTGGAACTTTTCCTCCTCTGTAATGAAACTCTTGATATTCATAGTTCTGTTTGTCTCTAATAATCAGTGATTTTGAACCCACTTTTCATGTCTGGAAAAAGAACACAGACAATAAGAAAAAAAGTCACTATCTTTAGCACAAAGGCTGGTCCTCATGAATTTTGTTTTCTGGAAATAAATCTCCATACATCATTTCTGTAAATCTGTGTTCTTCATTTTAACAAGGTTGCATTACTTTCTTAGAATATTAATTTAGAAAGAACTAGAATATGTATCCCCAGAAAACACAGTTTCTTTCTTTTTTGAAGAACAGACGTGGATAGCAGCTTAAAAATCAAACTAAGAAGCAACTTACCTTGCCTTTAATTTAAAAAAACACTGTCCCATGCCGCGGGCGTGGCCTGCAGTCCTCCTCACAGGCGAGTTGCCCCACCTGTCGCTGCTGCGTTCATCCCGTCTTCACTCAGCAGGCATTGGGAGGGAGAGCAAGGTGCAGCCCTGTCTCGGGGATTTCCCTCTGGACCGCTGGAGAGGGCCCGGGGAAGACGCACGGACACACTGTGGCAAAGGGCAGTGCAGGCAGAGTGAGGACGCCTCGACTGTGCTGGGTGGCAGCAGGGACATGAGGGTCCAAGCCAGCTGTCATCGAACCCT